TCAGATGGAACTATCCAAGCAGTAGATTCATCTCCTTTAAATGTTGATATTTGTTTGCACTGCCAAGCAAACACAATTCAATATTATTTTTGTAATACATTAAGGCTATTTTACAAACGAATGTAACATTCAACCTTAAAATGAGTAACACATCCATGGCCACATTTTGAGGTTACTGTAACTATACATTTCTCATGTAATCATATAAAGTGTGCATAGGCAGTCGCAGGTCTGTGGAGATCTTCACAATTGCTGTAATAATCTGTGCAGAATCTCAAACGGCATTGATCAGTTGCACCATGTACTTTTAATTTAATCTAAACTGCAATCCAGGTCATTTGGTTATGCTATTATTAGATGAAGCACAGTGATAACACAATCTGTTGTATAAATAAACAAAATATCTGACATTGTATTCCCATTTGAATTTGCTGTGCTTTTAAATGGTTGAAAGCACAACTATAGTTGTGTTTCTCTAATGACTGCCTCACCTGGTTCACCAACTACTTCTCAGATAGAGTTCAATGTGTCAAATCGGAGGGCCTGTTGTCTGGACCTCTGGCCGTCTCTATGGGGGTGCCACAGGGTTCAATTCTCGGGCCGACTCTATTCTCTGTGTATATCAATGATGTTGCTCTTGCTGCTGGTGAAGCTCGGATCCACCTCTATGCGGACGACACCATTTTGTATACATCTGGCCCTTCATTGGACACTGTGTTAACAAACCTCCAAACAAGCTTCAACGCCATACAACACTCCTTCCGTAGCCTCCAACTGCTCTTAAACTAGTAAAACTAAATGTATGCTCTTCAACCGAACGCTGCTTGCACCCGCCCACCCGACTAGAATCACTACTCTCGGTGGGTCTGACCTAGAGTATGTGGACAACTACAAATACCTAGGTGTCTGGTTAGACTGTAAACTATCCTTCCAGACTCACATTAAGCATCTCCAATCGAAAATTAGATCTAGAATCGGCTTCCTATTTCGCAACAAAGCCTCCTTCACTCATGCTGCCAAACATGCCCTCGTAAAACTGACTATCCTACCGATCCTTGACTTCGGCGATGTCATTAACAAAATAGCCTCCAACACTCTACTCAGCAAATTGGATGTAGTCTATCACAGTGCCATCCGTTTTGTCACCAAAGCCCCATATACTACCCACCATTGTGACCTGTACGCTCTTGTTGGCTGGCCCTCACTACATATTCGTCGCCAAACCCACTGGCTCCAGGTCATCTATAAATCACTGCTAGGCAAATCCCTGTCTTACCTTAGCTCACTGGTCACCATAGCAACACCCACCCGTAGTCTGCGCTCCAGCAGGTATATCTCACTGGTCATCCCCAAAGCCAACACCTCCTTTGGCCGCCATTCCTTCCAGTTCTCTGCTGCCAATGACTGGAACGAACTGCAGAAATCTCTGAAGCTGGAGACTCTTATCTCCCTCACTAACTTTAAGTGTCAGTTGTCAGAGCAGCTTACCGATCACTGCACCTGTACACAGCCCTTCTGAAATTAGCCCACTCAACTACCTCATCCCCATATTGTTATTTATTTTGCTAATTTGCACCCCAGTATCTCTATTTGCACATCATCTTTTGCACATCTATCATTCCAGTGTTAATACGAAATTGTAACTATTTTGCACTATGGCCTATTTATTACCTTACCTCCATAACTTACTACATTCGCACACACTGTATATATATTTTCTGTTTGTATTTTTGACTTTATGTTTTGTTTACCCCATATGTAACTCTGTGTTGTTGTTTTTATCGCACTGCTTTGCTTTATCTTGGCCAGGTCACAGTTGTAAATGAGAACTTGTTCTCAACTGGCTTACCTGGTTAAATAAAGGTGAAATAAAATAAATAAATAAAATAGACATTTGGGTGACAACTAAACCAAAAATCAGACATTGTTTGTCCATTTGAATTTGGTTGTGCTTTTAGATGGTTGAAAGCATAGTGATAACACATTGGAAATTCAACTAACTTTTGGCTGTCTTTTAGACTTGGTGAATATACAGTAGGTTATCTCATTAATCTACATCTCAACCAAATATTACCCAATTATCCTCATTGAAATGACATGGTGTGCCCAGTGGGTTGAGGCTGGCCATTTGAGTTAAGTAGGGCAATCCACATTTCTACATTTTTGGTTCCTCCCCCGATTCCTATCTTTGCATACCCCACCTGTCTAGTCGTTAGGGAGAAGCACAAGTGTCCCATCTAGCCATGCACTCGTCGTCTTGCATCTGTTTTGTATTCCACCCACCCCTGACACATACCCCAACCAAAAAACTATTTAAATCCAGTAAATCCACCAGTATGGAGAGAAATATTGTGAACAAAACTATTTTTCACAATCGTCACCTACATCCTGTATGCGTAGACAGCCTACACAACAGATCTCTTAACACTTCATCCAGAGACAACCAACACCGTAGAGCTCCAACATGCCAGACACCTACACTAACCACAGTGTCGTTACTGTGTCATAGACAAGCTCTCACTTCCTCTTCTGAGCATTCTATTTTTATCAGGGAAAGGTTCATGATGACGACCCCCAGCCACCATAATCCCACCTCTGTCTGCCTTGATGGGTCCCAAAAGCTGAAATATTCAGACATGTTTCAAGACTCAACAACAGTAACAATTGGCACATCACAACCCCAGCACACCATGGGCTTTGATGCTTGTAAACTTTGCTGTCTCTATTCAAGGCTTGTTCAGTATGGATCCAGTACAGACACTAAACAGCTTTACAGTAATAATACACATTTGACTAGATAAGAATTTATACACCAGTTGACAAAATGAACGCTGTTGTTCCAAGACACCCTAGTACGATTATAGAACGGAAACTTGAATCGCCAGACGTTAGCACAACAGTGAGTCAGCTGTTTTGGAGATGTAGATATGGGTGATAAGATATCTCTGCTCCTGGTAAACAGGTTTAAAGCCTTCATATGAGAAAACAGAGGGTTACGTAAAATAAAAAGATGCTCGATCACTCTCTCTCACAGGCCTACTACTCTTTCAGCAAACTCATCCATGGAACAGATCGTTTTGTGGGTATATATATTTTTTGAATACCTATTATTGTGACACTGGGACAATGGTATTGCCACATATGACACAAATCCCTCAAACTGGTGGGGTCATAGCTCTGATGCCAGCCTGAAAGGTATTTTAACTCACAGCTCTGAAGCGGCAGATGTGGCCACTTCTCATGGTTCACGTCCTAACAGTACACCCTGAACAACCATCCCCTTGTACACACACAAGAAATACAGCACTCTGGCTTAAATAGCCCCGTGTAGCCCAGTTGGTAGAGCATGGCGCTTGCAACGCCAGGGTTGTGGGTTCGATTCCCACGGGGGGCCAGTATGAAAATGTATGCACTCACTAACTGTAAGTCGCTCTGGATAAGAGCGTCTGCTAAATGACTAAAATGTAAATAAACAGCAGTGTATTAACAGTGGGGTGCAGAGCAGCCCCCCAGTCTCACCTCCCACTGTGTTAATTGCCCAGCACCAACTGCATGCTCTTTGAATTGGCTGCTTTTTTCTAAATGCCCCATTCACACATTCATTCTGTTTGGGTCGTCACCATCCTGTCTAATTCCCTGCTGGCTATGCATTCAGACTGTAGTGAAAGAAAGGGCCCATTCGTTCTCTAACATTTTTAGGGCCACAAGCCACACATTTGCGTAATTATCCCTCTCACATCAGCTTTCTATTCATTTACCCCTTCCTCCTCCTCCGCTTAAAACAACAAAAGGGCCAGGGACTGAAGTGGTCCTGGCTCTGAATGTCTGAAACGTGTTTAAATGCCATCACAGTGTCCACAGCCCCTCTTCACGCAATTGTAAATGACTGAGCAGAGGACAAAGGGATTAGGACGCAAAAGGAGAGAGGGACCATCATGACCTCATGGGTCAGCTGTGACCCACAACCCCCCTCTTACCCCCTCGGCCGACCATCTGAGCACTCGGCAAACCATGGGAATGTAGTGAGCGTGGAACCAAGAGCGCTCAGCATTTGCCTGCAAGGAGGGCAGTCGGGTTTTGGAATGTTAGGCCATTCTTTTCCTCATACATTCCGCAGCGTTCTCCCGACAACTGACTGACTGACAGACCAAATACAATGGTCTCCTTTCTGGATTATTCCTCTCCGACAATCACAGCTTTAGAATCGGAAGAATGATCAACCACCAAAACCTTCCTCCACCCATCCCTCATCCCCAACCTTGAGGCCATAACATTTTTTAAAGGGCCAAAAGTGTTATGAAAGCACATGAAGGGGATAGATACTACAAGTATCTCAGAATAAGATATCTTTGCACTATTAGTGTGTGACTGTTTACAGTCTAGAGTGATACATCTGGTGTTTTTGGTTATAAATTGTGTATTAATGTTAAGGTGCTGGGTCATCTACAACTACTTAGATCAGCTGTGGAATAGACAGTCAATGTACTCCAGGAAACAGTCTTCATACATACTGGATTAAAAAACAAGCCAGGCAAATGAAAATGTTTTTTGATTTATTTTTAGATATTTTTGGCAAAGAACAAAGGATCAGTCTGGTACAAAAAGGCAGTAAAACAGTAACAAATGTGTCTCTTATAAAAAGTATCATGTTCTATGAGGCATTTGTTTTCAACTGTCATGATGACAAAACCAAAATAAACACAAAAAAATCTTCCTTCTGTACATAGGTCTTACAAGTCAAAAATAAATAAATAACTTATGAAATATAAAACCAGTAACCAAGGTACAGTATGTCCTGAAAATAGAGTGTGCTTTAGAACTCAAAGAACCATTGGTCCTACTGGACCAAATGTAATGTGAACAAGTATAAAAGTATGACTGGATAGATTTGGCACTATTTTTGAAATCTTTGGTAGTTCGTTTTTGAGAGTCAGAGGCAATGTTAAGTCTTTGGGTCAGAAAGAGTCTCTAGTTCTTTGGGTGTTTAGTCTGTTTAGTCCTCAGAGCTTGCTCTCCTCCTCCTCCATGGCTCTGTTCAGTCCAGGGATGAACTTGAGGAGGTGTCGGCGCAAACTCTTCTGTTTGGGTTTCCTCTGTAGCGAGCTGAACCCTCCCGATTGCTCTTTGTCCCCTGGTGCTGACGAAGAGTTGTTGTTGGAGCCCCTCATGTAGCTGCGTGTGCTGGCGCTGCGGGTCAGGTGGGTCTTTGCTGAGGTGAAGAGCTCGCTGGCGGGACGGATCATTCGCTGCTTACCCTTGGGTGGCTTCTCCTGTTCCTGTTTGTCTTTCTCTGTGCTGCTGGTGGTTTTGGTGAGGTCACCGTTGGCGTCGTTGAGGCGGTCACCCTGCCCCTGGTACAGACAGGTCTGGTAGAGCGGGTCCTCCTCCGTGGTGGCACTCAGGTGGCTGGCGCTGCTGCTGGTGCTGCCGGTGCAGCGAAGGGCACGCATGGCGGCCGGGCTCGGGGTGCCCAGACTACCGTACACCCCTGCAGACTCCAGGGACTCATAGATAGCAGCATCACTCATCACTATGCCTAGAGGACACAGGGAAAGAGTGTTATACATCTTAAATTGACTTCAAATTAATTTACCTGAGATCATATGCATCAACATAAATGAATGACTTACCATGAACCAGCCTCTGCTCTTGCATCATCAAAGATCTGTATTCATCCCATTTCTCATGTACGGTTTGCTGATAAAAGAAAATACAGCAATATTAGAAAGCAGTCAAAAAGGTAAAATTTTTTGTGATTTCCACCTGTGAGCCTGATGGATGAGCTTGGGGACAGCAGCTGTCATCTTGAGAAAAGCCACTTGTCTTCAGACACAAAAAAGGTAATTTTTACCAGCCAAGTGTAATGTAAGCATGTAACTATGTGTCTACTCTCATTCACTGTGCTCACACAGCCTTCTGTAAGCATGCTGGAGAGCATTGCAGCCGCTAGTCATGAAACAGGTGGGAACAGAGGGGAAAAACAGGTGGGAAAGGGATTGGTCTAAATCTAGCATGCTGCATGGTGAGAGAGCTGCATTTTGTGTCTGCTGGCTATAGGCTTTTCACTACACTGTCAGACTGATCCCAGTCACACAATAGCCTGGTCCCAGATCTGTTTGTGCTGTATAGTCAATTCCTATGGTCATTGTCTCACACCCCACTGGATACCCAATTTCTGTTGAACTGTAGAAGCAAGCAGAACCACAGATTTGCTACACAGGGGAAGAGGGAGAGAGATTCACCTTCAGATACTGAAGCCTTGCCTCCAGTTCTGCTTTTCGAATGGAGTTGCTGTACACTGTTTCCAGCCTATGGTAAAGACAGAGTAATGTTAATTCAGACACAAGAAGGCCAGAGAGCCACACAAAACGAGAGTAAGTATTCACAGCATACTCTGGGCCCAATTAAGAACAGAGAGGAACTTCAGAAGTAGACATGTAAAGGCTCTTATATAGGAGACCCTAACATGCTAGAGTCTAGGCTCAACAGTTTACAAGTAGGGGGAAAAGCTTCAGAATGGTATCACGTTTCAAGACACCCACTCGACTGTAGCAACAGGTGCACATCTGAGGGGGTGTGTTGTTTTTACTGGGCTGATACAAGCTCTCTGTTAATGGTTCAGCATCTGAGGGGGTTTCTTGTTTTTACTGGGCTGATACAAGCTCTCTGTTAATGGTTCAGCATCTGAGGGGGTTTCTTGTTTTTACTGGGCTGATTGATACAAGCTCTCTGTTAATGGTTCAGCATCTGAGGGGGTTTCTTGTTTTTACTGGGCTGATTGATACAAGCTCTCTGTTAATGGTTCAGCATCTGAGGGGGTGTGTTGTTTTTACTGGGCTGATACAAGCTCTCTGTTAATGGTTCAGCATCTGAGGGGGTTTCTTGTTTTTACTGGGCTGATTGATACAAGCTCTCTGTTAATGGTTCAGCATCTGAGGGGGTGTGTTGTTTTTACTGGGCTGATACAAGCTCTCTGTTAATGGTTCAGCATCTGAGGGGGTGTGTTGTTTTTACTGGGCTGATACAAGCTCTCTGTTAATGGTTCAGCAGGTCTATTTGTTTACTAGAGGCGAGAATAATTTGATGAAGTCTATTGTAAGACAAGAGGCCTGCACTGGGCCTCTCATGTGGTTAACTTCACTGCTTATGCAGTTGCCTTCCGAGTTTATAAAATGGGGCCCGATTCTAATAGGCCTTTCATCTTTTACAAGCAGACAAAGAGAGCGAGAGTGTGGTTCCAATTTAACACAGCAAGTTAATTCTGCATATTAAAAACGGTAATGGCTTGCTTCTAGGCAACTTTGGTGTGTAAACATGAACAGAACGGTTTAGAGTACGTCCATGTCACATTGATTGTATGGTAATCATTTAAAATATATTACATTTCTCCAGAATATCTTTCAGGTGCCACTAGACAAGATTTACAGAGTGCGCCATTAATGAGTATTCCCATTCTCATTCAATAGATAGACTTCATTATCGATTCTGTGTGATTCTATACTTTGGACTGCAACATTGCTCAAGAAAGAAGGTTCAAGATGTATCAGTATGAAAACGACACTAGAAAGCATTGACAAACTCTTTATAAGAACCGATTTGACTAGGACCTATACAAAAAGTGGAACATTTAAGTTCTGTTACCATCCACAACCAGTCCCCAATCCCCTTGCCAGTTCCCTTTACCATTGAGATCTGATCTGCTTACCTAATGGAGTTCCCAGAGGCCCTGATTAGCTGAACAATCTCCTTGTGTTGAAATCCGTCCACAGTGGTCTCATGCACGCTAGTGATGGTGTCCCCTGTGCACAAAACAACATGCATGTTAACAAAACGGCAGCGGACGCAGTTAATTCCAGTTTTTCTTTATCATGGCTGTGGTTCTACTGAGACTAGTTTGATCCCACTAGCGTCTGTGGTTAGTGGAGCAATAAGAAGCACTTGGTTGGCTGGTGCTCCTGCAGCCCATGTGTGATACAGACGCTCTCGTCTAAACCCTGGCTGTGTGGTCATGGCAGGCGACTTGGCACACAAGCTGTTGTTACCCACTTTTCCTAATAAGACAGCCTGAAAAATATTGATCAAAGATTTGTGTGTTACTCCATCTGTTATTGTCAAAGTATGGCAAGCCTATTAGATTATGTTTTATTGATTTCAGATGATTCTGACTCGGCCTGGTTCGAGTTGCAAGCTGAAACACAATGGCTGTTCCCCTCTGGAGGACCACACCACAGCCTTCTCTCCCCAGTGAGATAAAGTCCTAACGCTTCAGTTTAGAGAAAAACACTGGGAGGGAACAATAAACAAGGCATGTAGGGAATATAGGAAGTGAAACTGACACTTGCATGTCTGATGTGAAGGGGAGGATGTAGCCCTGCCTCTAGCGCTCCTTCTCTCTGGTTTATGAGGTTTTGCGAAAATACATGTGAGAATATACAATTTCTTCATTCCCTATTGTTCCCTATTGTTTGTGATCAAATGGATGATAACCTTTTTACAAGGATTGGCAATGGCTTCTGTCTGAGATATTTAGAGAAATTATGTTTCAGACTAGAGAGGAAATAGAGCATGTCTATTCAAGAATGCTATTTTTTCAATAAATACAAAAAACATAATTAAAATAGACATGGCCGAGTTATTGTATGTGTTTGACAGAGTTATTGTATCCGGCAAGGCGGCAATGGAGACAAGGGAGTTGACTCGTATGGTGTTCGGTAAATTAATCTCTCCCTATAGTGTTTGTTGACTGGAAAATAAGTAGGCACACTGTAATATTTGTACTTCCCTAACGCATTTGTGCTTGCGTTTACTTAGGGACTACTAGACTCCTGGCTGGCAAACAAGAAAGGGGCGGGTCTCTATCCCTTCTTCCCCTGAGGTCTATTTTCAGTAAAGGCAGGTCATGCCGTTAAATACTGTAAAAAAAGATCCCTATTGAACAGGGGTTTTCAGTTTCACTTACCGACTTTGAGTCCAGCTTGTTGGGCGGGGCTGTCGTCGTGAACCTTGCACACAAATGTGCACATCTCCACAGAGTTCTCGTCCTGGTGGTGCAGCCCATATGTCTGGAAGAAGGGAGGGAGGATAATGAGTTAGAATTATACTTTTTGGTTGACAGCTTTTCATTCAAATAAATGTATTCTTAGGAACAATTAGATGCAAGGCATGGATATATAATTGCATCATGTTCAAAATCATTGGTAATTTCCCTTCACAAATGACCAAGAACCCAATGGTCACTCTGACAGAGCTCCAGAGTTCCTCTGTGGAGATGGGAGAACCTTCCAGAAGGACAACCATCTCTGCAGCACTCCACCAATCAGGCCTTTATGGTAGTGGCCAGACGGAAGCCACTCCTCAGTAAAGGGCACATGACAGCCCGCTTGGAGTTTGCCAAAAGGCACCTAAAGGACTCTCAGACCATGAGAAACAAGATTCTCTGGTCTGATGAAACCAAGATTGAACTCTTTGGCCTGAATGCCAAGCGTCACGTCTGGGGGAAACCTGGCACCATCCCTACGGTGAAGCATGGTGGTGGCAGCATCATGCTGTGGGGATGTTTTTCAGTGGCAGGGACTGGGAGACTAGTCAGGATAGAGGGAAAGATTAATGGAGCAAAGTACAGAGATCCTTGATGAAAACCTGCTCCAGAGCGCTCAGGACCTCAGACTGGGGTGAAGGTTCACCTTCCAACAGGACAACAACCCTAAGAATATAGCCAAGACAACTCAGGAGTGGCTTCGCGACAAGTCTCTGAGTGTCCTTGAGTGGCCCAGCCAGAGCCCGGTCTTGAACATCTCTGGAGACCTGAAAATAGCTGTGCAGTGACGCTCCCCATCCAACCTGACAGAGCTTGAGAGGATCTGCAGAGAAGAATGGGAGAAACTCCCCAAATACAGGTGTGCCAAGCTTGTAGCGTCATACCCAAGAAGACATGAGGCTGTAGTCGCTGCAAAATGTGCTTCAACAAAGTACTGAGTAAAGGGTCTGAATACTTATGTAAATCCATCTCTCCCATCTCTGGGCTTTGACCTCACTTCCTAAAGAACAGGGCGAGGCAGGAAAGGAGGGAACTCCATCCGAACCCTAAATATAACCATCTATCTGGAATAATTATAAACAAAACCGTGTTGTGAACATAGTACTGCTCCATGGTATTTATGATTTTCACGGCCCTTACATTGGGCGCCGTCTTCTCTTTAGAGGTGAGGCTGACAACAAATGGTGCATTGTGAGGAATCGCTGTGGGGACAGAGAGGGGGGAGCTCTGACAGATGAAGAGGGCCTGTGTGCAGAAGTCAGAGTGTTTACAGTGTCCTCGAGGGATAGGAATATAGTAAGTCTGACACGACACGCAGGAGTGTGAGAGAAGATTTTACAAAACCACACCGCTTTGAAAATAGACTCGAGAGAAAACAATTTTTAAAAACGCCTCCTTGTCTCCAGTCATGGGATGGGATACATCAGACCCTTATATTGAGAGTACATTTCTTAAAGTACACTATATATATATATATATATATATATATATATATATATATATATATATATATATATATATATATATATATATATATATATATATATATATATATATATATATATATATATACACACAAAAAAGTATGTGGACACCCATTCCAAATAGTGGATTTAGGCTATTTCAGCCACACCCGTTGCTGACTGGTGTATAAAATCGAGTACACAGCCATGCAATCTCCATAGACAAACATCGGCAGTAGAATGGCCTTACTGAAGAGCTCAGTGACTTTCAACATGGCACCGTCATAGGATGCGGCCTTTCCAACAAGTCAGTTTGTCAAATTTCTGCCCTGCTAGAGCGGTCCCGGTCAACTGTAAGTGCTGTTATTGTGAATAGGAGCAACAACGACTCAGCCACGAAGTGGTAGGCCACACAAGCGCACAGAACGGGACAGCCGAGTGCTGAAGCGCGTAAAAATCGTCTGCCCTCGGCTGCAACATTCACTAGCAAGTTCCAAACTGCCTCTGGAAGCAACGTCAGCACAATAACTGTTAGTCGGAAGCTTCATGAAATGGGTTTCCATGGCCGAGCAGCCGCACACATGTCTAAGGTCACCAAGCGCAATGCCAAGCGTTGGCTGGAGTGGTGTAAAGCTTGCCGTCATTGGACTCTGGAGCAGTAGAAACGCGTTCTCTGGAGTGATGCTTCACGCTTCTGGCAGTCCGATGGACAAATCTGGGTTTGGCGGATTCCAGGAGAATGATACCTGCCCGAATGCATAGTGCCAACTGTAAAGTTTGGTGGAGGAGGAATAATGGACTGGGGCTGTTTTTCATGGTTTGGGCTAGGCCCCTTAGTTCCAGTGAAGGGAAATCTTAACGCTATAGCATACAATGACATTCTAGACGATTCTGTGCTTCCAACTTTGTGGCAACAGTTTGGGGAAGGCCCTTTCCTGTTTCAGCATGACAATGCCCCCGTGCACAAAGCGAGGTCCATACAGAAATAGGTTTGTCGAGATCGGTGTGGAAGAACTTGACTGGCCTGCACAGAGCCCTGACCTCAACCACATCCAACACCTTTGGGATGAATTGGAACGCCGACTGTGAGCCAGGCCTAATCGCCCAACATCAGTGCCCGACCTCACTAATGCTGAGTGGAAGCACTTCCTGTTGAATGCGGAACGAGGGAGAGCTCGGTTTGTTGTTTTGGAAAAGTTTGTTGTTTTAAAAGTGTATTGGAAAATTTCTTAGTAGCTAGCTAACTTTTTAGTTTGGATCCCGCGACGCAGTTGGCATCAGTTGCTGGGACTGCTACTCTCTGTCTGATGAGCTATTTGGCGTAGCAGCTAGCCTATCAAGCTAGCGGGGTTTCTTGAACACATCCCGTGACGCGGTTAACCATTGTGGCAGGGACCGCAGATTGACCCGTGTTTGTGGCTGTCTATATCCCTGCGGTTTGTTGTTTTAAATCTTCCCTGTGACCTGCCCTGTCTGGAACTGCGAAGAGTAACAGCGTAACCTACGTTCCACAAGCAGCAACAAGAAAATAGCTTCAAGTGTTTTGTCCACATACTGGTTTCAACTAATAAAAGAATGGACGACCTGACCAGAGAGGTTAAGGACCTGAAGAACAGCTTGCAGTTCTCCCAGGGTCAGCTCGATGAGTTGAAACAGGAGAACAGCAAGATGACAGCAATCTGTAAGTCATTGTAAGTCATTTCATCAGTTCTGTGTGAATCCATGATAACAATGACGGATAAATCAGATTATCTCGAGGGACAATCAAGGCGGAATAACATGGTTGTGGACGGAATTGCAGAATCTCGACATGAGACCTGGACGGAGTCTGAGGACAAAGTGAGGGAAATTATCTCTGAGAAATTGAAGATGGACCACAGGAAGATTGAGGTGGAGCGCGCCCACAAGACTGGAAAACCCACCAACGGCCCAGGTGTCAGGCCCGATAGTGGTCAAGTTCCTGAGGTTCAAGGACTAGGTAATTGTTCTGAAAAGAGCCAAGAACTTGAGCGGAACGTACATCTTCCTCAACGAGGACTATCCTGAAGCTGTGCGCCAGAAGAGGAAAGAACTTATCCCAGCCATGAAAGCTGCCAGAGCGCGTGGGGACATTGCTTACATCTGCTATGACAGGCTCATTGTCCATCCTCCCTCCCAGAATCCTGGAAGGGATGAGAGCGCCAAACCTATGGGTTCGTAGCGTCAACCCCACAGCACACACACCAATTGATTAATGGACTGCTGAATGTATTGTTTGCTCTTTTCCATATTATGTCTATCTCTGATAAATTACCCAGGAAAGGGCTGAAAATAGCCCATAT